CCTTACTCAGATAAGGAGGAGGTGAGGGAAGAGAGGAGAGGGAAAGATTTTCAGCTGAAGCCAAATAGACATGTGGTGATCACAGAGGGGGTTCTCACATCACTGGCTTTGAACACTAGAGGTAAATACGCTGTCCTTAGTGGAATTATGCTTGAACATAATTGGTAGAACCCTATGACATGAACTAACTTCAGATCCTCTGGTTCTGTTCAAATCTGTTCAGGAGGGGAAAAAAAAAAGGGAGAAAAATCAGGCCAAGTTTTTTGTTTTTAAATTTCAGCAGCATTTTAACTGAGCAGTCACTAGAGTAGAGACCAACACACAGAGAATCTGTGTTTGCCTTTACAGCAGTTGGTGTCTTCTACTTCTTGGAGGTGGAGAACAAATCCTGAAGGTGCAGGCCAGTGTGGGTGCTTTGGGGAGCTGTGCTGGGAAAGTCATTGCGCAGGTGCAGCAGCCGCTGTGGATCAGCATCACAGATAACATTATTTGCTAACACCTGATTTCCAAGATATGCTTAGTGCTGCATTGCTGCTGAGGTACCAGCAAGCAGTGTTTGGTCATTCTAGCTTATCTTTGAGTCTGCTGAGGCTATGTCAGATCACAATTCTATAGTTCAAACATGCAGATGAAGGCAGATCTCCAAGGGACCTGAGCTAGATTCTGGTGTTGGCTGCTGTAACAACTATTTCTATTGATTTGAGAATGATTCTAACATGAATATTTTTTCTGATGTACTGAAAATCCATGGATTCATGTGAATCCCATCAAAATCCATACTGACTTGGAAGACATTCAGCACAGGAATCCATGGCCTCATCTTCTCACCCAGCTGCTATCACACCAAAACTGCACCACGACTCCCAGACACCCAGAACCCAAAAGTGAACTAAGTAGGTTATCAGTCAAAATATTCCACATAGAGTCATATTTTTTCGGAGTAGGGTGGAATATCTTCTGTCTGAGAGCTCTTCAATAATTCCTGTTTGTAGGATTGAAAAAACTACGGTTTGCTCTGGTAGTCACATCAAGGCAATACAGCTGTAGTGTGCGAGTGTGGTTCTTTTCTTGAACAGAATCAGCAAAACACTTGGCTAAGTTGCAATAATCAGATCTTCTTTACTGGTGCTGCTTTCAAGAGACAGAGTGGATGTGGCTTGACCTTTTGCCTGACTCAGGCTGAATTTGCAGTAGTAACAGAGAAATCCTCTTTTCACTTATAAGATGAATAGCAAATTTGATATGAAGAAAAGATTGGGAAAGAATAAATATGGAAACAGAAGGTGCTGGTTTTATAAAATAATTCTTCAGTGTTTAAATATATCAGGGTTTGGGGAATTGCTATTATAATTAAAACAAACAAGCAAACATAAAAGGCAGAAAACTATTTGGCTTTCCAGTGCATACTGACAGTGGAAAAGGTCCTCACACCACACATCCAGCAGGGAATATAAATGATTGATGGTAAAAGCTTAGATCATCCACTTTAAGTGTGATTGACAGATAGTGTTCCTGGCAAGTGTCTGGAATTCAGCAAGCTGGGAATGAGAAATGCAAAGTACTGACAAACAAACGGCCATCTGCATTTCTCTAGCTTTTTAATCTTTCTTCAGAGTTAAGGTGAAATATATAAACCCTGGAGTTATACATAAAAAGAGGCTTTTGACTCAGGTTCTCTAATGCAGCCATTAGACTTTGCCAACCACCTTCTGACACACTTAGAAGTCTCACCTTACTTTTTTTGCTTTCCAATTACAGATGTTTTTGATAAAATACCCACTTAATCTGCCCTCTTTTTTTTTTTTTCTTCCTTTTTCCTGAGTGATTGATCTTACTTTATGGAGAACATGTAAATGAGGGGAGATGGTATGCAGTTCCTTATGTATAAGAGGACAATTGTTCTAATCCAGTGCAGATACTCCTGGGTGGAATGTTAATTGCATAAAGCAATAATTGCTATAAAGACTTCCTACTGATCCTTTTTTTCCCCATTTTTCTATGAATGTCAAACACAATTTTTTTTAGACTCTGACAATCTAGATTGATACTTTTGGTATGCATCGTTTAGAAAATGCACTTGACAGAAACAAAGCAGTGTGATACTTGCACATGTGCCTTGCTTTGGAAATCGAACTGTAATGTAGGATTGATTTTCGACTAGATCACTGGCCGTTAACTTGATTAACTTCAAGGAAATTTTTAATGATAGAAAACAGTACAACTTCTTGTTTTAGCCCAGTTTGTTTCTTAAAAATTGAGGCTTCTGTGATCTGACTCGGTTTGTGGTTCATGTGTTGCTTTTCTCTGCTTGGTTTGGCTCAGTGGGCACCCGGCAGATGTAGCTCCTTCATGTGCTGCTCTTGCCACCAACGGGAGGTGGCTCCCTGGGCTGGCAGGAAACTGCAGGAGGGGGAGTTTTCTGGGAGTGACAAATAGCAAGGGGAAACTGGCGTTGCTGCCACAGGGAAGGACACAGTTGTGTCTTTCTGTGTTATGTGAAAAGCAGAATTAAATTTTAAAGAGAGTAACACGTAAGTAACTTCTGCTATATGTCATTTCATATGTAGGCAAAGCAGCACCATGCTGTTTGTACTTGCATTGTACTAATTCTTCATGTTACTGTGGGGCAGTAAAATAATTATTGTCATTTTAAGGTAGGGAAACTTGTCTGCAGATGTCAAGAAATACGCTTAGAAACAAGCTAGAATTCCTCTCCCTTATGCTTGGACTACCGGCTCTAACTGTTGCTCATCAGTGATGGCACATTTCAATACTTGACAGATTCCAGAGCATTAATTAAAACAGTTGTTTAGCTAATTGCCTGGAAGATTGTGAGTAAAAGCATATTTATTCCAAAGGCAAACAATCCATTTTTACCCAGTGAAGCGTATCAGTTTTTATGGTGCATAAAAATTGTTTTACTTCAATTTTGAATATATTGTGTGTTTGTCTGTCTAAAAGCCTTGTAGATGATGATCTATTTTAAGTGCATGGAAGCTTTTTTCTTAGGCCATTTTTAATGTATCTACTGAAAAAGCGTATGTTTAAATAATTGAAAATGTGAAAAGTCATTGCCATTAAAATGAAAAGTTGCTTACTGCACCGGGCTATTGGACTACCACCATGCTTACTGATACGCAGCCTTTGTAGTGCTTCTGGATGTTGGCACTGTCCTATGTAAAGAGGCTAGAGGTGGAAGAGAGGGTATCATTATGGTGCCCTTGCCTAATTTTGTGGGGAAAAAAATGTGCTTATGGAACAGGTGGTTTCAATGTATATATGCACTTAAAATGGAAATATAGTCTATGCTCCTCCACAGTGTTCAGCGACTAAACTGGTCGCTGGCAGGTGGACTGCATAGGGCTTTTGTGGAAGTCTGGGAGCACAGTCTGTGGGAGCACATCACAGACTGTGTGAACCACAGCTTATTGCACTACAGCGTAGCTTACCATCAGGCCGATAGCTTCTCCTCAAAGAGCCAACGCTTACCATCTAATGGAAGAGGTTACATAATGGAGGAAGTACAGCTCCAGGGCTGAGATGGGAGTTCTGGGTTTCATTTAGGAGTTTTCTTGACCTCTTTACTCATGATAGTTCTCTTGACTTTCTTATAGACTTTCATACATGACTGTTTATTTAGGGAATGAAATCTAAAAGGGCCCAGGTGAAGTCAATAAACTAGTACATATTTTGATGCTTTGGCTTTAGGAATTGGTACGGGCAAAGCATTACTTATAAGACAAGGGACCATCTGGTCCATCCCTTCCACAACTTGGTAGACATTGTGAATGTATTTCTTTGTTGTTTGTCTTAAAAGTGATGTGCAGTGGTGATATAACACAGCAGAGGTTTAAGAGGAAAATACCATTCAAAACAAGAACAGTGTAGTTTTTCAATATCAAGGTAACAACTGAGTATTCTTATCTTGTTAGCATTATAAGTTGGAAAACAGAAAAAAAAAAGACCATTACTCTGCAAAGGAGCTTGTAACTTTCTCCTAAACGCTCCCTTTTGTGCCCAGCCGGAGCTGGGGTATAACCAGTGAAATCCTGACTGGGGGCTGCTCCTCAGGCAGATTTTGCTATTCTTGCCCTGCGTTGTAGTGCCCAGATCAGTGCAAATGCCCTCATTGGAGTATTCCTCAGTAGGGATTTCACTGGCTGCCCCAAGCTTCCCCTTACAACATGGGAAGCTTGTAAGGAAATGGCAATGTTTTCTTTCTTCCAACGTGTAACAGCTAAATATTCTTGCCTTGTCAGTATTATCGTGGTGATAACTAACCTGTACATTTCTTGCTTTGGACTACGTTGTTACCTTAAACCTCTGCTGTATTATATGGGGGCACACATGCACAACTACTGAAAGATTTTTTTGAGACTCTTACCAGCTGAAAAGCATTAAAGCCACCAGAGTTGTGAGAGCTGCTCTTTTATACTGTTGTAAAGACAGACTTTTCTGGCGACAATCTAGCGAACTAGGGCAAACTTACTTTAATACTGATGTGTATAGTGTTTCGTTACAGCCTGTAACTGCACTGACGTATTATACAAGATGGTGTTATTGACACAATAGTGGGTAATTGTTAGCCAGATTAAGAAAACTCAACAACATAGATGTAAGAAACAAATCCTTTGCGTGCCAGTTAAAAGAAGAAAGGGAAAAAGCATTTCCTCTTAATTAATGTCTTTGAAAGGGATCAGAAGAGAACATGAACCAAGAATGAACCGCTTTGCTTGAGTTTTAGAGGAAAACCTTTACTGATATTTAAAGGGGACTTTTCACATGAAACACTTTTTGATTGTGGTTTATTCTTACGAAATTTTTCTGGGCTGTTGTAATTAACAAAAAGAAAAGGTTATCAATGAAATATTTAAAAGATTCTTTTTTTCCAGACAGAATAAAATAGAAAAACCTTGACTGCATAAATGAGATGTATATTCTTTCATATTTTTGGTGGAAATAGTACCATTATTGAAAGCAATGCTGCTGCTTTTCTCTAGGCAAAGGAGACGTTTTTGGTGATGTGTTCTGGAAGGAGTCTACCCTTGCCCAGTCCTGTGCTAATGTAAGGGCTTTGACTTACTGTGATCTTCATGTGATTAAGAGAGATGCCTTGCAGAAAGTGCTGGAGTTCTATACAGCCTTTTCACACTCCTTCTCGAGAAATCTCATTTTGACCTACAACTTGAGAAAAAGGGTAAGTAGCTTTGATTTTAACATACACCATATAAATGATCACTTTTAAGGACTGTCTGTATGAAAAAAATGAATTGCTTGAATTCTGGCATTCTTCATAGCCTCTCTTATAAGAAGGTTTTTAAGAGCATGCCTAAGAGACACTGCTAGCATGTAGAGTCAAAAGGCCGTAAGTGTTTATTCCAGTGCTAGTTTTATAGGGAGCTGGACTGTGTATATGTGAAAGTATTTTACATTTCTATGAAGTGGACAGATTCCAGCATATTTGCGAACTGTCATGCACTTGTGATAAACAGTGTTCACTACTTTCTGCAACTTTAGTTTGTAAAGCAGCTAAAAAGATGTTAGCGGTGTTGCCTGAAGTTACAAGGAATGTGGAAGGAAAGGTGTGAAATCTAATATACGGAACAAAAGTCAACAACAGTAATCACAATGGAAAAGTAATATGAACATGGCTGATTCTATCAAGAGTTGTTTCTTTTAGTATCAATCACATTTTGGAATTACTTTGCTTATCTATAATGTTTCCATTTTCTTATCCTTGATTTCTTGATTTTTTGGCTCTTTTAATTTCTTCCTGTGTGCCAGTTCAAGTAATTTTGTCAAATGCGAGTCGTCATAACTTAATATCCCATTTTGAATTCTCTGTGTAATCTTCAGTAAACCACCTCTGTAGGAATTTATTAAAACTGTAGCAGGTGTAATTCAGTTGATACGATTTTATGGTACAATGTAGAAGACAATAATATTACATTGAAAATAAATACATTGGAGCACCTATACTTGCTTTAAAATATTATGATATAAAGGTACTTGAGATCAGCTAAAGAAATATGTTTGATAGAAGATTTTTTGTTCCTAAAACCAGTTCTCCATGGTAACCTCCAGGTGCCAAGTCAGTCCTAGATAATTACATCTGAAAAAACAGAAAACTTTCCACCTTTGAAGGTGAAATGTTTTGTAAAATTAAACTTTAAGCCTAGAGTATCGATATTTTTTTTTTTTTTAGGTTTTTTTTTTTTTGTACCTGGAGTTGGCATACTGAAATTAAAATAGTGTGATGATGTTTTCTATCTGCATATGTTATCAAAAATTCAGCTTTTCAGTATTGGGCAAAGAAGAATGTGCTATCCACACTTTGGTCAAATAAATCAAAGCTCTGGTAGAAAATGGATGTAATTAAAAACTAAGAAGCAAATTTATACTTCAGGATTTCCTCATAGGACATTTTTTTCAAATGACATCGAGGTCCTGCAGGACAAGGAGAAGATATAAGCTGCAAGAAGATTAAGAGAGATGTCCCGTTAAAAACTAAGTTTAAAAACCAGCTACTTACCTGGTGTTAATTGATGTAAGAAATAAAAGAAATGAAAGAAATTGGTATTGAGATCACCTAAAGCATCGGTATCACTGACTGGCATATTTTAAAATAACAGTGAGTAATGTGGTAAGATGGTGTAAGAATACATAAGTACTTTTTTTTTAACATCAGTAGAAATAACAAACTTTGAGGCATGGAAGGACCAGCTCTCTTAAAGCTCACAGTAACGCTAGGGTCGCATCATTTTGGATCTGCTCTGAGCCAAAGGTCCCAATTTTAGAATCAAATGCCTACTCC